GACAGTGTAAGATATGACAAAATAATAACAATTTATAAATTATCAAGGGTTTATGAAGAAGGGGGAAGTTGGGAGGGAGAGGAAAATGAGGAGCTAATGCCAGTGGCTTAAGTGGAGAGCAAATGTTTTGAGAATGATGAGGGCAACAAATGTACAAATGTACTCGACACAATGGATGGATGCATGGATTATAAGAGTTGTACGAGCCCCCAATAAAATGATTTTAAAAAAATGATGCACCTGCACATTCTTTAAGGGTAGCAAAGGATTTTTAAGGAGGGTTTCATTGGGAAACTTTGCCTCATCCACCCTACAGCCCTGAGCTTGCCCCATCCGAACACGGAAAAGAACATGACTGGACCCCTGGAGGATGCCCAGCCTGTAGTTTGACGTGTGCACATCAGAGAGCACAGAGCTCTTCAGGGAGGGTCAGGGGGATGGAAACACTGCCTACAGCAATATAGAGGCTCAGATGGAGTGTGTGCAAGAAACAATAGCTTTACATTTTGAAACGTTTGTATAATAAAAGTTTCCACAATTTTATAGCAATACTTTCTGGCTTACCATATGGTTCTTCCCAGCTGTCTTTAAGATATCCAATAATAGAAGTGACCCCTGTTCCAAGTAGACTGAGTAAAAATTTTTCTCAAATCCTTGCCAGTATCAGATTTAGCTTATTAATGAATCTATATTAATTTATTGTCCAAACGTTGACTGATCTTTGTCTCTTTTATTTCTTTCAGTGCCAGATGAAAGCAATGTCTATTCATTGGCTGCACAAAAATCAGGTAAAAAATTCCTTGGAACTTATTTTATATCCTCTTCCTGGAAATCGCCGGCTGTCTTTGAGTAGCATTTGGAATGGGTTTCCATCCGAAGGCTTGCTAATTAATACATGAGATGTCTCTGACTTCCACAAAGATGAGTGATTGCTTGGCCGTGTGTACAGTGGCATAATGTATGCTGACTCAGAAGCAGACTGTCGAGAGGAAAGAATGAAGGTTTCCAAAAAAAAGTAGCTATAAAACTGAAATTCTTAAGCCTGCATGCCAGCTGAGCACTTAAGACAGGAAAAATTGTAAAGCACACCCAGGCAAACTTGAAGTCACGTGCCCATGATGATTTTACACCTTAAAGCAAGCCAAGTCGAGATTTCTAGAATAGGAGCGATGTGTTCATTTTGTTCTCCTTCAAAGAGGAGAGAAGAGAGTCATTTGCCTGTCATCAAAGGAGGTTGTTCAGAACAGACTGGATTGTATTTCTTTAGATGGTTGAATGAGGTTCTTTAGGATGTCTACAAGGATCACAACAGCTTCACTGGGCCTTTGCTATAACATGTAGCGTGTCTTCCATCCAACGATCCAAGCGTTTTCTCCATTGCCAACTAGCCTGCCTTCTGTCCTTTTACTCTTCCTTTAACATCATTTCCTTCACATTAGTTGGAAACACTTAGCGCGATTACGCTGTTTCATACTGCTGCAATCCCTTTCTTCAGGAGTACACTACTGTAGGAGGGGGGAAAGCCATTTTACTCCCAGAATTGCTATTCCAACCAACAAAAGCATTATGACTTGTTGACGTCCTTCTGTTTCTGAGACAAAGAAGCCTTTCCCGTCACCAAGCGCCCCTGTGTTTATGTCCGATTATGTTTGCACCAGCACGTGGCCTTGATGCCTCATTACCTCCATCATGTTCCGGGGCAAGATTGTGATGCGTTCTCTTTTCTCCTTTCTCCAGTTCTCCTAGTGATAACAGCGGGGAAGGTCTGTGCAAAACTCTTAGACCCCCCCCCCCCAATTCCTTCTAATAAATAGCCCGAGAGGTTAGCTCACAGGGAAATAACGGATTTCTGTGGGAGTGAAAATCGCCACAGGCTTTGTGCTCATCAATCTCTTCCACGAAGCGCTCTGCTGCTCCCAGGCTTCTCAGGAACCTGAAGGAAGTTCTTGTAGCAAGCTGAAGGATCGCCAGGATTTTCATCTGAAATGCACGGCACCGCTTGTAGTTCTTACGTGTATGGGTATCTGAAGTTTAATGCCCCTTTATGCCCTGGGTGAAAGATTGATTTTTTTAATTTCCAGGTAAAAAGTTGAAGTGGGTTTTTTAAATGTTTATCATTTTGGTTTTTGAAAATGAGCACATGATAAGCATTTTTTGGCCTTTTCCAGGAAAGCAAAGTTCATTCTTGTGTTCACAAACTTTGAAGCAAATGGTTTGTTAGCTAATGACTGCGAGTTATTTTTACTCTTCTTAAGTGAGGACATTATCCTTTCAGTATATTGTTATTATAGTTTAAGTGAACTTAATAATATGTTTCTATGGTGCTGTATAAAAATATCAAAAAGGAATTACTCTAAGCAGAAAACAATATAATCTTCCAAATTCATTATGTGTGCATACACACACATATATACATGTACCTATATATACACACATGAATATATATATACACATACGTGTGTATATGTAGAAGTTGACTGATTTCAAAACTTGTAGACAGGTTAAGGGTAAATCCAGGTGGAGGCTCCAGCTGAGCTGGTTGAAAGAGATGGCCCACCAGTCTTTCAATCACACAGACCATACCGTTTATAAGTACGTTAGATGTTTTAAAGAAGATTTGGTTACGAATAAACTATGTCACTATGCTCTTTTGAAGTATTTCCATAGTCTAAAAAAAGTACCATTGAGTTTTTCCTTAGGCATATGTGAAGCAAATGTTCGTGCTGGATAACAGCTAGACACTTGATAACTGGCGGAGAAGTGGCTTGTGATGGGACACCGACCTCTAAAATTCTACTCCCTCCGCTTGATGTATTTGAGAACATCTCTGAAATGTTAGAGATAGCATGCCAACAAACTACACAGCGGCATCAAAGAAAAACATGCCACAATTATTTTGAATGTATATTTTCCAAACATACACTCTCTCCCCGCCCCCACTTTTTTCTTTGACATTTATTTATTTTGGAAATTTTCTGCTGAGTAATAGTGATCCTTAGGACCTCATCCTTCACGTGACATGTCACTGCCATAAGCGTGCTGGGTTTCTGAGCGTGCTCCTGGGGCCTTGTGTCTTGTGGTGAGAATGGAGACCGTGGCAGAGGATCAAAGGTCTTTTCGATTCTGGTGGCTTATTCCAGTTTCAAGTCGTTGTTTAATAATGATACCACCAACCTGGCACGGGCAGTGTAAGGCTGCTACTAAGCAAGTTACCAGTTAGGTTTTTAAGTTGGGGTGTCTACGACCATCCGTGCACTGTGCTGTGATCTTGAAGGTCCAAACTTCAAGACCACCAGCCTCGCTGGGGAGAAAGATGGGACTTTCTAAAGAATGTAAGAAGAAAGAAGATGCTTTGGGAAGGATGGTAGCAGCAATTGCACAATCATGTTTCATCTAATTGAACCATGGATTGCCATACTCTCAATAAAACGGGGGAGAAAAACCAAGAGGTAGCAGTGCCATAAACCCGCAGAAGCAGTTCTTCGCTGTTCCCCGAGGTCTCCGTGAGCCGGCCTGGACTGTGGCAGGGAGTTGGGGTTTTGGGTTCATGACCTCCTTGCTGCCCCAGTGTTCACAGTGATCACTCCGCTTCTGCAGTGTCCTCTGACAGGTCCCAACCCCTTTCTCTAGAACATGCAGGTAGCAGCCTGGCATCTCCTTTGAGAGCAGAGAGTTTCTTCTTGACAGAAGAGTTTCTACTTCTGTGTCTTCTCAATGATAGAAGTGTGGCCACGTTCATTCTCTCCAAGGCCCTCAGGAAGTTAAACAAATTAAAGTGCATGTGCTGACCTAAATATATCCCCCATCCTCTCATTCAGGGTGATTTTTAATATTTTAATGAATTCGTCTGAGGGAAGCTTTCGTCTGAGTCAGCTGCTTAGTGTATAGAGAGTCGTTCTGTGCCAAGTGCCATCTGTTGGTCTGGCTTGAGACCCTCCCAAGTTTGTGACAGTGTTCCTGGCACGCTTCCCTTGGCATCAGCATCGAAGGTTTGATTCCTTAGAACTTTGAGCAAATCAAAGACTCCAGGAAAATAAATAGTTCGTACATATATATATGACCATGTGCTGTGTCTCATTTCCTGTTAGGGAAGATGGCAAGACAATTGATTCTCCTCTTGACAATATTGTTAGAACCTCTTCCTTCTGTGAAGGGTGTCTACATCTATGGCATAATGAGACCTAGGCCAGGGACGTTAGCAATACAATTAATTGTGTTTGCTCCCTGAAAGGACTTTTTAAAAATCACAAGTTTCAGAGAGTTTTGGGAAACCAAAAAAAAAAACTTTAATCCCCTTTCCTGACTGTTCCACTAACTGAATCCTGAAAACATTTATATCTTATCATTGCGGTGAGGGGGACCAATGAAATGTGTAGTTCAAATAATATCACTATTCTTTAAAAGGACAACTATTCTGAAATAACTAGAACCCAATGAAAATGACATCATTTGGCAATGCCTTTTTGTTAAAAGTATACTTTAATTTTGACTATCTTCACCGTTAAAAAATCCATTTCAGAGAAGTTACTTTTTCTTACCTATTTTCCAGTCTGAACTGATACTTAAGTAGTAGTTTAATAGTATCCTGTATTCAGATGTAAAAGACATACACATTTTTCTTTTATCGTGTCTTCCTTTTTTTTTGTTGTTTTGATTTACTGCTTGGAACTGTGTTAATACGTATCGACTGCCTGAAGAGATCTTTGCTGACCTAGCTCTTTCAGATGATGCAGGACTGAAGAAAGCTGATGAGTTCTACTTTATGAGCTCTGACATATTAATTAGCAAAATGGACTAAAAAGCCTTCCTATTTCTACTTTAATTTCTTATATTCTCAAACATCTGCCTATATAGCTGTAAAATAGGCGAGTCTGTAAAAGTAATGGCTGGCAGTAAGTCCAGACGTTTTTTTCTGTGACAAGTATATCAATTAATGACCAAGTACTTATTAACCAATGCGGGGGTCGGGGGGCGGGCGAGTTCCTCTATTCAAGACACCTTACCGCCACAAAATAGCATTAGTATACTAAACGTTTTGCTGATGAAGAACCTGAAGTTGAGGGCATTACATACGGGGCCTCTTTGCTGGTAATTCGTGGGGTTGGGACATTAACTGACATTGTATGAGGCGACTCCAGGCCTCTGACCAGAGCTCCAGGAGCATGAGCTTTCCGAAGCATGGGCTCAGAAACCAGGATGCAGTATGGCATAGCCCTTGCCTCTAGTTTGCGATGGAAATCATAACACAGGTATCTAGAATCCCAGTGCATTCTTATTTATCTTTTGTATCTAGCCAGATGATCAGGAAACAGAGTAATTCCTCTAGTTGAGTACTATAACAAGTTGTATAAGGAGGATGACTGGTCTGATAACCTTGCCTTTATTTTCCTGTGTGGGCGTACATCTGAGCACACATAGACTTTCTAAGCGTTGGTCGTAAATTAGCTCGAGGCAGGCGAAGCATGGGCATCACTCGCAAAGTGCGAGGGTGCGGGCCACACCAGGTGATGCAATCAGAGCAAATGCCACCAAAAGGACTCTTTAAAATTGGGGGAGGGGAGCATTTCCTCAGAACTCTGACTTTCTAATAAGACATTGCCATAGTTAGTTAGAACACAAACATCATTTTCATAAGCCAGCTCTGCCCTCAGAGTTGTCTGTGAAAGTATATGTATGTGTGTGTGTGTGTATAGATATATGATTGAGTATGTGTGCCAAGTTGAGAAATGTGAAAAGGTATGCATGGAATGTGTATAAATTATAATTTTCTTCAGAGCAAACCCTCCAA